AAAAAAAAAAAAAAAACTACATTAGAACCCTTTGTTGGAATGCTTTACACTTTCCACAGAAGAGAAACTAATAACCTGTTATACAATTAGTCACAAATACAGTCCTCGAGTTTTTTGCCCATACACATGAGTATTTTTCTAAAACATGTCTTCTTTGTAGCAGTTATGCCCTGCCACCACTGTGCTTGGCTGAGTTCACAAATCTGTTGTAACATGTAGCTTCCCTGTCACTTCTCTGGCTCTCTTCTCCTGCTAAGCTTTGTTTCCTAATTAAAATCTTCTGCCACTGCCGTAGCTACTTCTGCTACTGGAACCTCCATAGCCACCTTAGTTTCATGGTTTGGCAAAGTATTGGCCTGTACCACCACTGGGGCCAGAGCTTCTGCCTCCAAAGTTTCCTCCCTTCATCGGTCCCAAATTTGAAGACTGATTGTTTTAATTGCCAAAATAATTGTAGCTTCCAACACCTCCAAAATTGCTTCCATCATTACCAATCCATTATAGCCATTCCCACTGCCACCATATCCACCACCACCAGAGCTGCCACCAAAGCCACCATGGTCACTGAAGTTTCCTCCACGACCAAAGTTGTCATTCCCTCTGAAACCACTTTCACAACCACCACCAAAGTTTTCAGAACAACTTTGACCTCTTTGACTGAATGAAGCACTAGCCATCTCTTGCTTTGACAGGGCTTTCCTAACTTCACAATTGTGGCCATTCATAGCATGGTATTTCTGAATGACAATCTTATCCACGGAGTCATGGTTATCAAAGGTTACAGGGGCAAGGCCCCTTTTCTAGCCACTGCCTCAGTCAGTCATGATTTCAATCACTTTAATTTTTTCGTACTGTTCAAAATAATCTCTTGGCCGGGCGTAGTGGCTCATGCCTGTAATCTCAGCACTTTGGGAGGCTGAGGCGGGTAGATCATGAGGTCAAGAGATCGAGACCATCCTGGCCAACATGGTGAAACCCTGTCTCTAATAAAAATACAAAAATTAGCTGGGTGTGGTGGTATGTGCCTGTAGTCCCAGCTACTTGGGATGCTGAGGCAGGAGAATCGCTTGAACCCAGGAGGCGGAGGTTGCAGTGAGCCAAGATCGCAGCACTGCACTCCAGCCTGGCAACAGAGCAAGACTCCATCTGAAAAAAAAAAAGAATCTCTTAGGTGATGTTCTTCAATGTCTTTAGTGCCACCAACAAATATCTTTTTCACAGTTAAGGGGGCACCTGGTCTTTGAGAATCTTCTCTTGAGACAGCTGTCTTTGTTTCCACAACTCTTCCATCCACCTTGTGTGGCCTTTCATTCATGGCTGCATTCACCTCCTCCACAGTGGCATATGTGACAAACCCACAGCCCCTGGAGCACTTGGTGTTTGGATGTCTCATGACCACACAGTCCGTGAGCATTCCCATTGCTCAAAATGGCTCCTCAGGCTCTCATCAGTTGTTTCAAAGCTCAACCCCCTAATGAAGAGCTTCCTCAGTTGTTCGGGCTCTTTAGGAGACTCTGACTTACACATGATGGCAAGCAGAAGAGAGACTTTAACGATGCTTCCTCGGCAGTGTCCACAGGCAGAAAGCTATTTTTTTTTTTTTTGAGACAGAGTCTCACTCTGTTGCCCAGGCTGGAGAGCAGTGGCGCGATCTTGGCTCACTGCAAGCTCCGCCTCCCGGGTTCACGCCATTCTCCTGCCTCAGCCTCCTGAGTAGCTGGTACTACAGGCGCTCGACACCACACCCAGCTAATTTTTTTTGTGTGTGTGTGTGTGTGTGTGTGTGTGTGTGTGTGTATATATATATATATTTTTTTTTTTTTTAGTAGAGATGGGGTTTCACTGTGTTAGCCAGGATGGTCTCAATCTCCTGACCTCGTGATCCGCCTGCCTTGGCCTCCCAAAGTGCTGGGATTACAGATGTGAGCCACCATGCCTGGCTGCAGAAAGCTATTTTTAAATTTTTTTGAGATAGAGTCTCACTCTGTTGTCCAGGCTGGAGTGCGGTGGCGCCATCTCAACTCACTGCAACCTCTGCCTCCTGGGTTCAAGCGATTCTCCTGCCTCAGCCTCCCGAGTAGCTGGGACTACAGGCATATGCCATCACGCCCAGCTAATTTTTGTATTTTTAGTAGAGATGATGTTTCACCATATTGGCCAGCCTGGTCTCGAACTCCTGACCTCAGGTGATTCACCTGCCTCAGCCTCCCGAAGTGCTGGGATTATAGGCGTGAGCCACTGCATCCAACCAGTAATGTACTTTAGATTGACAAATTGTTTGGAATCTTAAAATCAGTCATTAAATCTAGAGAGTTTTGTCATAGATCAAAGAGGGTTCCAAAACAAATTAGTCACCCCTTTACTTATAGAAGAAGTTTATAATAAACTTTAGATGTACCTTATGTCCAAAGGAAGCACTTGGTGTTTTATACAATGTAGTATCAAAACACGGATAAGGGGCCAGGCATGGTGGCTCACGCCTGTAATCCCAGCACTTCAGGAGGCCGAGATGGGTGGATCAGGAGGTCAGGAGATCGAGACCATCCTGGCTAACACAGTGAAACCCGATCTCTACTAAAAATACAAAAAAATTAGCCGGGCGCGGTGACAGGTTGCAGTGAGGCAAGGTTGTGCCACCTCATTCCATCCTGGGCGACAGAGGGAGAATCTGTCTAAAAGAGAGAGAGAAAAGAAAAGAAACTTCCAATTTTCCAATTTGTTTAGATCCAGGAATAGACCAATTTGAAAAATCTTAAATAATATTAACTACTCAGGCCATAGTATTCTTCATAAAATGGCTGTAAGAGGCAGCAATACTAAGAGAAACATGAATTTATGAACATAAGTCCTGCTTTTTCCCCCTCAGTTTGATTTAAATTTAATATCCTCCCACGATGGAAGATGATTTACAATAAAGAGATAAACTGGAAAGAATAAGAAAATGGAAACAAGATGTCATTTCTTTTTACTACCCAACAGATTTGCCATATGTTTTAAAATGATGTTTGGCCATCTACAGTAAATTAAACAAAATGCTTTTTAAAATAATGTAACACTTTAAACTATTTTTACTACCAAACTCTCCCTCTCTTGTGAAATATCCATCTTACTAAGCAAAGGTTTATTGAAGCTCCACTTACATCTATGTTGTTTTTAGCTCATTTCCTTTTTAAAAAAGCAATTGGTGAGTTTATTTCCCAGTTTAGCTGTTATAATGAAATATAAAAGGCATTTCTGTTTTGGCCTCTAGTATAGCATTATCGAAAGCTACGAAACTCACAGCAAAATATAGGACAGTGTAAAATTAGAAACTGCTGGTGTTTCTTTAGCAGCAGTTGCTGCCCTTGCAGTTGTTTTCCCCTCTTGCCACCAGCACAAATCTGAAAGTCACCTCTGTGTACCAGACAACAAACCCCAAGTGTGTTTTTTAAATAACAGCTTTATTATTCACATAGCATAGACTTCACCCTTTTAAAGTACACAATTTGGTGGGTTTTAGTATATTCACAGAGTTGTGTAATATTTACCATTGTCCATTTAGAACATTTTCTTCTCTACAAAAAAAAAAAAAAAAAACTCAAAAACTCCATACCCGTTAGCATTCATTCCCCATTCCTTCATTCCCCCAGGACCTGGCAATCACTAATCTACATTCTGTCTCCGTGGACTTGCCTATTGCAGACATTTCATATAAATGGAATCATAATTATGTGGCCTTTGTGACTGGCTTCTTCTTCTTTCTTCCTTTTCTTCTTCCTGTTTTTTTTTTTTTTTTTTTTTTTTTTAGAGACAGGGTCTCGCTATGTTGCCCAGGCTAGTTTCAAACTCCTGGGCTCGAGGTGCCGTTCGGCGCCCGGCCCTCCTGTTCCGCTGCCACTGCCGCTGCCGCCCAAGTACGTGGTACTTGGCAGAGGTGCTGGGCCTGCATTCTCTCCTTCCTCCCCGCCTCCGGCTGCCGGTAGGACCTTCCTCTCGCAGCCGCTGGGAGCCCTGTCTTCGCCAAGGCCAATCACGACGCCCTGAAAAGAAGGAGGTGATGGAATTAAACCACCCCCAATCATTGGAAGATTTGGAACCCCACTGAAAATTGGTATTGGTGGATTGCTAAATGTTGGGAAATCTACTTTCTTCGATGTATTAACCAGTAGTCAGGTTTCAGCAGAAAACTTCCCTTTCGGCACCATTGCTCCTAATGAGAGCAGAGTACCTGTGCCAGATGAAAGGTTTGACTTTCTTTGCCAGTACCACAAACCAGCAAGCAAAATTCCTGCCTTTCTAAATGTAGTGGATATTGCTGGCCTTGTGAAAGGAGCTCACAATGGGCAGGGCTTGGGGAAAGCTTTTTTTTTTTTTCCTTTTTTAATCCCATATTAATGCCTGTGATGGCATCTTTCATCTAACATGTGCTTTTGAAGATGGTGATATCATGCATGTTGAAGGAAGTGTAGATCCTATTGGAGATATAGAAATAATACATGAAGAGCTTCAGCTTAAAGAGGAGGAAATGATTGGTAAACTAGACAAACTAGAAAAGGTGTCTGTGAGAGGAGGAGATAAAAAAGTAAAATCTTTGGGAGGCCGAGGTGGATCACAAGGTCAGGAGTTCGAGACCAGCCTGGTCAATATGGTGAAACCCCGTCTCTACCAAAAATACAAAAATTAGCTGGGCATAGTGGCGCATGCCTGTAATCCCAGCTACTCAGGAGGCTGAGGCAGGAGAATTGCTTGAACCCAGGAGGTGGAGGTTGCAGTGAGCCGAGATTGCACCACTG